CATCTAAACCCAGGAGGTAGACCCCTTCAATCTGGGGTGGAGAGGAGCAGACAGCCAAGTCTTGGCCTGGGCTGCACCAGGCTGACTGGCCAGTCCCCCACCCCAGCGAAGCCATGCCCCGGACCAACCCACACCCCGCCATCGGCCAAGCATACACCCCAACCGACCACCCACCGGACTCTGGCAGCCTCCCCAGCCACCGGGCCGACCACAGCAACCAGGAGCCAGACCCCGGGAGCCCGAACAGCCCCAGACAAGACGGAGCACCAGCCCCGCCCCCGGAACCGCCCCCAAGCCCCAAATCCGCCCACACCCCTGGCCCCACCAGACGGTCTGCCCTCCTCTGGACCCCATCCCCAGAGGGCCAACAAGGAACGGGGGAGTTAAAAAGACCCCGACACACACCCCCACCCTCAGATGTGCTGTTGATGCATGTTGTTCTATAATGCAATTAAAACGGGGAAGAAGACAGGGAAGAGGCCAGCACGGTGACAGTTTCCCCTCCACGCCAACTCTAACCCAAATCCTAAATGTCTAAAAGCAAATATTGGGAGTGGGCACAGGCATCAGTGGTGAGAGTGTCCCATCCCGCCCCTTGCATGCCATAAGTGCCCACCCCCATGTTCCTATATGTAAATGTTATGAGGATGTCATGAGTGAATGTCTAGGGTGTACAGTAAAATTGGAGTCCGGGTGGTTATAGCAAACAGAGATGTAAAATTGTTGCTCTTTTTAACACACCTGCACCCCAAAAACCCTACATGAGTGCAATTGAAAATGAAGAGGGTGTAGTAGAGCCTCCTGCATGCTGCTGCTGAACTGCTGAAATCGTGCCGAACTGTTGCAGTTTTATGATGAAAATTGCGTCACTTCTGTTCGCATTGTCGGCATTTCGGCATTTCTTGTCGCAACCCGCGGGTCAAACTTTTCACCCCCCTCCACATAAGAACACATACGAACTGTATGATGTGATTGGTCAGAAGTTCGTGGGAGTTTTGTTTATGCTGAAGGTTCTCAGACGCTGCATTTGCTTCAACCACTCGCTTCAAAAAAAGAAAGGAAAAAAAAGAAGAAAAAAGCGATCGCTTCTAGAGCCGACTGTTGTACCAGGAAGCAGCGATTTAAAGACAGTCAATGGCCAAAAACTCATAAAAGGGGATCACGATGGAATCTGACTGATAAAAACTTTGGAGCTTAATCTGGGACCAGTTTGTCCCAGATAAACAACGTCGACTGAAGAGCCTCTGACTTTTTTTTCCCCGCATTGCACTCCCTGGGGAAGGAATCCCATGCAGTGACATATGCTGGAGYGGGAGGGGTCTCCCAGCAGCTCGGCTCGGGGTGTCTCGAGAACTATGAAAGAAAAGTACGAAAGCCGAACAACCACATGACGGCGCGTCGACCGGTCGACTGCCGAGCGACCATACTGCCAGCTTAGGTGTGTGGTGGTGGATGGGGAGAAAAAACTGAGGGAGCAAAAATGCTCCCACAGGGGGCCAGCTCCCCCGCTGACCCCAGTAGGCTCCCCCGTTTCCCGAGACCCACCCAGGGAATGAGGCCCCAAGACCTCTTCCTCCGGACAGACCGCCAGGCCCAGAAGGCCCGAGATCATGGACAGACAGAGCCCAGAGGACCGCCAGAAACCGGGACCAACAGACCACCCGCCCCAGAGCTGTCTAGACCCCCAAGACCCGACCCCCAGCCCCACAGCCAACCTGCAACCCAAAGAAGCTTCCAAACCCCAGCAAGGATGATTCAGCCGAGAGTGCACACCCAGCCACCGACAGCACAAGGAGGGACCAAGAGCGAGCCTCCGCCACAACAAAGGGGCCAGCCAGCCGACCCAGCACAGCTCCCGGCTGCCACCAAGGCCACCCACCCAGCCACACCCCAGAAGAAATACTATACACACCCCATCATTCAGACAACTCTCAGAACATATRYATAGTATGCTAGACACCCAGGCTGAGTTGGCCTATCCCCTCCCACGGGCCAGTGGCCCCGCCCCCAGCCAGCTCAACCCTCCAGCTCATCAGACCCGTAGTTCACCAGCGCACCAAAGGCCCCCCGCCCAGAGTCGGGCACCAGGGCACACTGTAAAAAATGAAATGTTAGATTTACTTAACCATGTTATGTTACCTGGTTCCACTTAACTGAGTTGAGTCAATTCAAAGCAATATACCAGTTTTTTAGMCAAAGAACATGAGTATGTTGCTTAGAATTTACTCAACWCAGTTAAGTTGAACCAGGTAACATAACATGGTTAAGTAAATCCAACATTTCATTTTTAGAGTGCACAAACTGGCCCAGAGCCAGGCAACCCGCCCGCCAGGACTCAAGCCCTCCTGGCCCCACCAGTACCACAGCCACCAAAAAATGTTTTTTAAACATTAGTTAAAAGACAACTACAGTCAGGAATATCACAAATACTTTTTCAAAATTATACAAATTCAGTTCAGAGAAATTGACACATTTATGTATTTTTATGAGTAACAACTATTTACAGTGATTCATAGCTTGAGACTTAATCATAAAACGTGAAGGAACAAAAGGGTGATTTAAACATTTCATGATTCTTACATCAACATAAACACATCAATGAAGGTGTTGAAGTAAAACATGTCCAGTTTGGATTTCATCTGATAATGAAGGATTCATCACTCGATATACACTCAACAGTTCTTGTTGTAAGCGTGTTGTTAAAGTGGCACCATTCCAATCCAGTGATGTCCACCTGACCCTGGACCTGCCAGTAGTGGGCGTGTGAACGCCTCTGACTTGCATGGCCATCCTGAAGGTGAGCAACCTGAGACACAACATTCTTCGTACTACTTTTTTATTGTTATTTATACAGAGACAGTGTACAACATTTCATTAACCAGGACAGATGTGGATAAATATGTCAGGTGAGTGACAAGTCAGACTTTTTTTCTGCATTTATCGGCTGTAGCGGCAAGAAACTCCATGCAGTGATGTATGYTGCAGCGGGAGRGGTTTCCCAGGAGCTCGGCGTGGTGTGTCTCTGGAGCTATGAAAGGTCTGTGCGAAAACGAATGCCGAACAACCACGTGACCGCGCGTCAACCGGTCAGCGTCGGAGCAAGTATGTTTCAGGCCTGCCTGAAAGGGAGGGGGGTAAAAAGTTCTGCTGGYGGGTGGTGCCAAAAGGGGCGGCCRAGCCGACACTGCAAACAYCGGTGACGTAATTTTCGTCATGAAACTGCAACAACCCGTGCCGACGTCGGCAGTTCGGAGGGAGTATGAAGAAAGCTTTAGTCTATAGCAGCAAAAACGAAGAATAATTCAGGAAACCTAAGTCTAATTATATGATTTATCAAAAAGGAAAGTCTTCAGTCTAATCTTAAAAGTAGACAGAGTGTCAGCCTCACAAACAAAAACTGGAAGTTRGTTCCACAAGAGATGAGATTGATAACTGAAATGAACAGCTATGGTTTTATGCATTTGTAAATTCACTTAAAACTTGAGAGTTAGTTATAAAACAAATGTTTTTATGCTTATCTTAGTGGGTTGCTGCTGGAGAAACGGGTGGATCCATTGTCCGTCGTCCCCGCGTGCCCCCTCCTCTTGTCAACACAGGGTCCACGGCAGGTGGGGCKGAGGACCGGGCCCRGACATCCGCCCCAAAACAGGCCGTACCCAAAGGAGGTGACACTGCAGGGCCGAAAGAGGAAGACGCCAATCCGCGCCATTTAATAGCCCCGGAWAAACAGAGAGACTAAAACATGTTATTTAAAAATRTTTCAAAACAACCTTTTATGATTTTTCTTGATTTAAGCTATGATTCATGTTCCAGTAAGCGATCACGGAGGTRGCTGAGCTGTCTAAGACTGAAACTGCCACTGTCCAGGAAAGCAAATTTATCACACCATACCCGCAGACACTACACGGCTTCATCATCATATTTATTTACCATCGCCTGGACGCAAGGCCCGTCGGTCGCATTCATTAGCTGAACAACAGAATCGCCCTAGACCCATTGTTACATCAACTCATGCTCAGTGMACTACCGTATGCAATTTTCTTACAATGAAAATTGGGTGGCCACCTTTTAAACTGACTTTTAGCCTACTTTGTTTCCCTCAACAGAAACAGAAACGGAAAATTATATCTTCCCTCAGCAGTTTATTCCTGTCTAAACTGCCTACACTCACCAAGATAAACAATGTCCTCTTGGCTACCTCAAAACAGAAAGCTAAACTCCCYGTTTTTAACTCGATTAGGAATAAAAACGCTCCCTAACCTACCTCAGCTAAAGTCACCACCAACCGCAGAAGCGACCAGACGGGCGTCTAACAATTAGATTTTTACTGTGGTGGGCTGAAATAGCCGTAGCTTTTTTTTTTCACAAAGGTGCTAATGAAAATATTATCTCACCATGTTTCTGTCAAAAGACAGGTTCTTTCAGCTCCAGTCCCAAAGGTCACCCACAGCGGCCGAAGCGAGGACAAATCGATCAGCGGAGGAAAACCTTCCTTAAAAACGGGTCAGCTTCTCAGAAACTGAAAAAAACCAGGAAGCTTCTTCCTCCTTGTCCAAACGTCGGCCCCAGCGGGCAAACTCCGGTCCTTGGAGCTCCGATAACGACAACGCCAATTTGTGGTGGCAGGATTTACCAAGAGATACAGAACAGGACATGTCAAGGTAATATATGCAGTTAGGGAGTCATAAGATATTCTTGCATCACACCTCCCATTCTACTTTTAGAAACTCGAGGAACCACAAGTAAACCTGCAGTCTGAGAGCGAAGTGCTCTGTTAGGCAAATATGAAACAATAARATGTTTAATATATGATGGAGCTTGGTTGTTAAGAGCTTTGAGTAATTTTTAAATTTTGGAYGTAATCTGAGTCGACCGACTCAGATTACATCCTCTGGTTTTTCRATCCTCGCCTCAGCCCTTCACGGATACCTCCACTCATCTGCTCTCATGACAACGACCCTGGTTCTKTTTATTGGATTACTGCCTCTCGTCTYAACCTTGTTCGGCAACACGACTCATCTGACTTCCTGGTTCTCGACCCTCGCCCGCGCACTGGATTCCCGAAGAACGCCAAACCCCTTCAACCTGGTAAAATCTTTGTTTAGTCTGTGCATGGCCCTCACCTGTTTGACAAATCCATATCTGACAAACAGACCATCAAAACCTATCGAGTCTATCGGAGATGTCATGGCCTCCCGGACCCAAACGCTCTGACGGTGTTTCTTCATGGAGGTTTCCTGTGAACACTAGGTTGGTGAACTTTAATAACCCCATAACTTTGACCCAGTGTGACTCCCTTGCTAATTTGTTGTTTTTGTGTTCAGATTGCCTGACTCGAGATTCGATTTGGTCCCARCTCCACACCAGCAATTTAAATAAACATTGTAAACCTTTTTTTGTGTCCGCATTTATATCAGTGCTCAAACCCAGCCTCGTAACAGGAGCAGTCTTTCACTGTCAGTGAAATGTGCTCCAACAATCTGTGGCGCTCTCCAGTCCCCGATACGATGCCTGACTAATTGAAAATAGAGCTTTCATTTTTAACTTGTGGGGTGTGAAAGTTTGGGATCTTTGTTAMTTTTCCTGATTTGCCTTTGTGGTAGAAATAATACTTTATGTTTAAGCAGGTGATTCATGACATCCTTTAATRACCTAGGTTTTCATGACATGCTGTTCATCTGCAGACAGAATGATTAAAGTCAGAACAAKRTCTGCTGACAACAATAATCATTCTTAGGTATCACTTGTGTTTATCTTTGTGTTTTCCATTGACCTTGTATCAAATCTTGCTAAGATGACATTATGCTGTTTGTTAATATATATATGAGGCCTCTCAAGACACAGAGTACAAAAGTGTTCAACAGAGTTCAACAGTAGTGTGGAGACAGTGACAGAGAGAAGCAGAGGCACAGAGASAGGCCAGGTTGTCTGTGTTTCCTGCTGTTGCAATAAAACTCAGCTGATCATCTCACGGAGTACCTTCATTCTTGGAGATGTATTTCTCTCTTAGATAAATAATCCAGCTAACAGTTGGCGTTGTCGCAGTGACCACTAGGAGATCGACGGACCAAGGCCACATTGCAGGTGGACTGATATGAGTGAGCAAGGACTGGACTGCTCAGGACCGTGACTCCATCTGGATGAAAAGA